GAGAGTGAGAGAGAGAGAGATGGTTGTAATTTTTTTTTAATCTTCCACGTTCTTTCACATTTTTTTTTTCAATTACTAAAACTTATTTGATTGTCTCAAAATTATATATTTGATTATTATAAAACAAACTTTTTAATTAATTAATTAATGTGTATTTGATTTTGTTGTTGAACCAAATAAAATAAAATAAGATTGCATGTATATTTAGCTTTTGTTGTGAACCTTAAAAAAATAAAAAATAAATAAACAAGAAGGTTGTTAACATTAAATATATTAAAAAAGAAAGAAAAAAGATTGAAGGTATATTTAGCTAAAACCTTTATAAAAAAAAAGACAAAAGAAAAATAAGAAGGTTGTTAACATTAAATATATTAAAAAAGAAAGAAAAAAGATTGAAGGTATATTTAGCTAAAACCTTTATAAAAAAAAAGACAAAAGAAAAATAAGAAGGTTGTTAACATTAAATATATTAAAAAAGAAAGAAAAAAGATTGAAGGTATATTTAGCTAAAACCTTTATAAAAAAAAAGACAAAAGAAAAATAAGAAGGTTGTTAACATTAAATATATTAAAAAAGAAAGAAAAAAGATTGAAGGTATATTTAGCTAAAACCTTTATAAAAAAAAAGACAAAAGAAAAATAAGAAGGTTGTTAACATTAAATATATTAAAAAAGAAAGAAAAAAGATTGAATGTATATTTAACTTTTGTTGTGAACCTTCAAAAAAAAAATTGTTAATATTAAATATATTAAAAAAGAAAGAAAAAAGATTGAAGACATATTTAACTTTTGTTGTGAACCTTAAAAAAAAAAAAAAAAATTGTTAACATTAAATATATTAAAAAAGAAAGAAAAAAGATTGAAGGTATATTTAGTTTTTGTTGTGAACCTTAAAAAAAAGAAAAAAAAAAGTGATTGTTAACATTAAATATAAAAAATAAAAATGGGGATTAAAATGGGTTGGAAAAAATCCATACCCATTAAAAAATGGAGAGGGTGGTACCCATGGAGAATGAGGAAAATTTATTATAGGAGAATGAGGATGAAGAATTAATATCCACCCCATTGCCTTCCATTGTCATTCCTACAACAAAGATTGGATCAATCTATGAGCTGGTTTGGGCAAAACCATTGGGTTAAACTCGTCACAACTACCGACCACCTCTTTCATCGTATATTTAGAAAATACAATAAACAGAAAAAATATAGTAAAAAAATCAACGATGAAAAAAATAGGAGGAGAAAATACACATTTTACCCAAATACATACATACATGAGAGAGAGAGAGAGACACACACACACACCCACATTTACATTTACAGGTTACCCTAATTGCAGCCATGATAGGTGGTGGCAAATACAAACCCTTGATTAATTTAAGGAAAAAAAAAATAAAAAGAACAAAAAATGAAGTTGATACACTTTCGTGAAAACGATTACATTGTTTTTGACATAAAACAATATATTCATTTAACCATTAAAAATGATAGCACAACAGAGAAACCTTTCACAAAAATTAGTTTATTGATCAAACCTTGGATTCTGTGATGTCTTCTTACATTATTCACATACAAATTTATAAATATGTGATATTCTAAACATGTGCGCAATTTCCCTTTTTTCCAGTTCCATTCCAGTTTAATGAAACATATATAAAGCCCTAAAAGATTCGTTGGTTTACATGTATCATCCCTTGACAAAAATTGTATCAGTTTGGTACCCATGCTTCCAGAAATCAGTCATCATGACTTGGGAATTAAAAATGCTGCACCATACTATACATAAATTGTAACATGGAAGACAACTTGTGTTCACAGCGGTTGGAGTTCTTGCTCAGGAATAGCAGCATCAACAGGCTTGTATGCTCCAATTGCTTGTTGCTTCCTTCTCCAAATAATCCATCCCCCGGTAGCTGATAATCCCATAATTAGCATAACGATGATTGCTACAACCACAACCATGTAGTGTTGCTGCCACCACGTCCTGCATCGTTCCAGAAAAAAGCAATATGAATAAAAAGCAGCGAAAACAAAGAAAAAGCCTTAGATATGAATCATATGGTACTTGTATCTCTATACAATTCAGGAAGCAAATAGGGGTCGCAAAGAAAATGCAAAAAGAATCAGGGTCCACAGTCAGAACACAAGATATGACGGACCTGAAATAATTACCTCACAGTCGAAGCTCCTAAATGCAAAACAAACATTAGATCACTCACGCATTAAAGCTAACTAGTTTGTCTAGAACATAGTTATATTTTTATTAAAAATTTATGTTCCTTTGTTTTGTATGTCTGTGTGGGTTTTTTTATTTTTCTTTTATTTTATTTTAGAGGGGCATAATACTTGCGTCGTTGACACATTCTACAACCAGTTCATACCCTTTTACATCCCCTAGAACCTATAAATTCATTTACTGTTTTAGATTGAAAGAGAGAGAAACCAGGAGTGGAGTAAAGAGGTGATTTGCATTATCCAAATTTAAATTGAATATCAACAAGAGGCTTTTTCTTGTTGCCACAATGGAGGGCTGGAGCTCAAACTACACTAAGCGGGGAGTCTAAGCTCATAATGTCAGCTGAAATGAAACTAGATGGGCCAGGGGCTAAAAGAAAACATGAACACTCAATGGTTAAACCACATTAGCATCTGATAAGTGACCGGCACAGAAATTGGTTTCACACCAAACATTGGATGCCTTCCAGAAGAGATATGAATTAACACAATGTCATTCAGATACTCATATGCCACTTCCCATATAATGCATTCAATAAAATGAAGCCAACGGTTTCTTCAATGTTTCATTTATGCTCATGGGATCACTACTGAGGAGGAGGGGAAAAAAGGATAAAATTTTGCAATAGCCATTCGAACAGAAACCTATCATATTATTCCAAATCACAATCTTTTTCAGTCTTCCTAACAACCAAAGGACGCATTGTTTATAAATTAAGGAGTCCCCAATCCCTACTGTTTCTTTCCAAATGTAAGTTGAGAAGACTAAATTTAACCACACTTCCATACAGAGAGTTCATACGACAAAAAATGCCAAATTCTAATAGTATATAAGATTGTTGAAAATATGTTTAACCCAACCATTCAAACCCACCCCAAACAAAACCATACATCTCTTCTACTAGGTGTAGCTCTTGAAAAAGGAAAAACAAAAAACAAAAAAGTTCGAAACATGGAAAATCCTAGTAAGTTTATGAGATTGTTGAAAAATTCTAATAACTTCTCATCTACCAGGTGCATCCTTTTAATAATAATAATAATAAAAATAATAAAGAGAAAAAAGAAACAAGTAAAAAAAAAAAAAAGAAACTTTAATCACGGAGTTTAGTATTTATGATACAATAGTACCAAACTCCAGTAGCATATTTTGAACAAAGATGGCCAACAACACTCCCCACCTCACTGCCCTTGAGACAGAGCATGCATATACAGAAAATAATGGGAGAAAAATAATGCAAAGAGAGCTGCAGCAGATAAATAATAATATAGCTTACTGTTTTTGTCGGGGCTCAATGTTCCAATCGACCAACTGATAAGTTCCAAAGGTATCAGGAAGCCGGACACGATGTTCAGCTAACCGTGCAATAATACCCTGCCAATTAGCATAGTTACTGAGCAAATGATTCTAATTTTATGAACGCAAAATCCTTGCAATTCTGAAAAGCAAACTCACCATTGCAGTGACATTAGCAAAGTACTCGGCAGATCCAGCTGGCAGAATGGCCCATCTTATTAGGGAATCATTTCCTTCAGCTGTAAAATTCAATAACTGGACCTGAAACCATTCACCCCAGATAACAGGCACCCGAGGTAAGACAGTTTGTAAACTGGATGCATCAACAAGTGACGCAAAAAATTCCAGATTGAATGCTGCAACATGAAGCTACCTGTGATGTATTCAGATCTAAGTCCTGGGCAATGAACTGGGCAAGTTCTGTGATGTGAGGCTTCAGATCTGGGTATTTGACGCTCAAAGACATGTAAACTGTTATAAGACCAACTTGAAACTGTCCTGTACATCAAAGGTTACATGAAAATTACATCAGAGTCAAGTCAGTTCATGAGGAAAATTATGTTATCAGAACATGGTTTAAGTTCATAACATATCGAAGAACTGCCTTCCTGATGTCCTTCAAAATGCAACAGCTAGTTTGAGCTCAGTCGGAACAAACATAGCAGATTAACATACACATTGAAAAGTTTTCACGAATATAAAAATTGACCTCATAGGAGCTTCAAATGGTCAGATAAGTTAGCAATTTAGCAAATAATAGCCATAGAAGAAATGAATGTTAGAAGTTTACAGCCTACACTACCCAAGTGGGCATTATACGGAAATTTTTACTAACTTCTAAAGTCAAGAGTCAACTTCACCAACTAAAATCCCAAATACTCGAGGCCAATTACATAAATTCTTCAGCATTCAGCTCCATCTGGGGTCACATCATTAACTATATTGTAAGTCATCATGTTTGCTTCACTTTCTTCTGACTTCATCCAACTCCTCTAATTCGCTAGAACCTTAGCTTTAAATGCTAATCAATCTTCCTTGCTGGTCCATTCATCTATGCATATGTCCAAAACACACTTAAATGACTTTCCCCCATTTGATTGCAACTGGTGTCATTCCCATCCTTCGAGAGCGCAGCGATATATGATTCTATAAAATCCATGATATTTATACTCAGGAAAGAAGAAATGCAAACCTATGATCTATCAGAGTTGAAGATCTTAATGCTAATCCTAATCTACAAGCATATATGATGTAGTAAAGAAAAATGACCATTTCCAGAACTCATTAGTTGCTTCCATGGTGTCAACTACTTTGAATGACATCAGAAAAGATAAAATAGCTCTAGCAATGTACTTTCCTAAAACTGTCACTGCACTCTTTTTCCACCTCTGTTAGTCTTAGGATAGGTTGTTCTAGGTAAACTGTTATAACTTCTTGAGTTTTAATCCTTGAATGGAGTTCTTGAAACGCTCAGTGCTAGCACAATGTTTGAAGTGTTATGAACTTATGATTCATCTTAAAGCAAACCCAATTGAGCTTGCATGTGAGAGAATAATGTATGCAGTCATGAACTAAAGCACAGACAAGCTTGGCCCATGAATCGATTACATGACCAAGCTGGATTGATTCCATGCTCCAGCTTGAAGCTGAAATTGAGCTTGCTTGTGAGAGAAAAATGTATACAGGAAAAGGATATGTAAATAATTAAAAGGGATAAAGAATCAAACAGGATAAAGACATATACTGCAAGTATCAAATAACAAATTCTTAATCTCAAAAAAAAAGTGCCAAAATATTGGTGAAACTTGAGATTTATCGGAATTTGGAAAGAAACATGCCAAAAATATCTTACACCAATCAAAGTCGTAAAAAAATTTATTGAAGGAAAGTAAAGAATAGATGTAGTTGTCTCCTTTTGATAGGCAAAATTAATTTAGATTGCATAAACTTTTCTTCCCTCCAACGCCGAAGAATGCATTTTCAATTGATATACCCAACCATGACCACACCCACCATGTGAGAGTATTTATAAGACACACTCGGTTCCAAATTAATGTGACAAAGGATAAACAAAGCTGTTGATTCAAATAAAATCGGTAGGAAAAGGTTATTAAAAATGTTGCAGCTTATCATACCTGTAAAATTATGCTGTGGAGGTCCAACAGGAGCCACTGTGGGTGACTCATCTGCAGTTGAGTTTGTTCTATCAGAAGTTGAAGGCACAGGTGGAGGAGCACTAGTAATGTGAAGCCTTTCCCATAATTCAGAGCAATTTGTTTTCCAGAAACCAATTTTTTCATGCTCGCGATCATACATCACAAGAGTATTGCGGACAACGATTCCTGTACAAAATTATATTTACGAACTTAATAACAAAGAAAAAAGAAAAGAAAATCATATTTTTGGAAACATCTGTTTCAAATTTGCAATTTTATTGGATTTTGTTTTGTAGGGTTCTTCTGTGGAGGAAAGATTACTTACCCCTTATTTAACAAGGATTTAACATTAAGGTCTATTGTAGGAAAATCACAACAAACCCTAGTATGATTAATGTTGTTCTCATTTTGCAATATTTTTCTACCCTTTTTTTCACTTTTATACCAACCCCTATTTATATTTTCGTTTTAACACCACAACAAGTGCATCAGGACTCAATCATGAGGTGTCTCTGGCAATTACAAAAATTATGAGTGAATGGTTTGAGTTTCCATTATAGCATAAAAGTTCATTTATATGTTTCCAAGTTCAGCTAATGGTAACTCCAGTTCTTGCATTGCTATTCTAGTAAGTGTAAAAAATTTCAGGGGAAAATATGCTAACTATTTGTGAAGCTTTCACATGTAAATAAAGGAAGGAGTTTGTTAAAATTTTGTTTCAAATTCCTCGCTTTACTCCATCCAAAAAAGATTTTCATATTCTGATCCAAAAAGGAATTTATTTTGAGCATGATAAAAATTGGGAGTGAGAATTTGGTAATGCCCAAGTGAAGGAGGGGTCCAACCCACAAGGGAAACATGTTTTGTGGAAATACTCCTAAAAGGCACCGCACTTTGTGTCGTGTTACGATTTTGCTTTTAGTGCCATTGTTGTTCCAACTTAGAAAGTTTTGGATCTGGGTTTCAACTCTTTTTGAATTAAGGTTGGATAAAATTTTGGAGTTCTAGGGGAAAAGTTCGGTAGTTGTAATCTACTTTCATAATGATGTTTGTTAATCATCTTTGCCCAAACTTAGTCTGATTAGAGTGAACCATATTAAATCAATGCGTGTTTTTTTTTTTTTGGACATGCCTTCCCCTTGGTATATTTGTTTACTTATATTGTACTCCTATCCGCACGAACATACTAAAACAAGTCATAACCGAGGAAACAAAAAGATCAAATAGGAGTATAATGGAGAAAAATTGCCACACATTTGGTAAAGCATAATATACCTCCTAACAAGGTGGTTGGATCCTTTCCATTCTGGAAAATCCCCAAGCAATATGCACCATGTGCCTTTGAATGCTTTATGTAGACATGAAACAAGATAAAGCAAAGAAAGAACATCAGTCACTGCATATTAAATAAATGTTTGCAAGGACAACAGAAGTCCACCCAAATATGTCATTTCAAAAGGGCCATTTTTCTTCTTCTTCAAAAAAAAAGAAATAAAGAAAATAAAGAATACAATGAACTCAGATGCTTACCCGGAACAAGTAGTTTTCCGGAGAGAGTGACAGTTTCTGCCCATTGCCAAATACCATGTCAACAATTGGAAATGTTTTTGAGAGTTGTGAGACATCACTGGAGTAAACATAAAGGTTAAGCATTACTTGCAACACAAAGATAAGCAATCAAACTAGTATAGTATAAACACAACCTCCCGGCACCAGAGAAGCAAATATCATTATAACTTGGGTCAGGACCACGAATCTGTTTGAGTGAATGGAGTTCTTTCACAATCTGCATTCAAACACTAAAAAAAATCACAATAAAAGAAAAAAAGATAAATGAACTAAAAGAGGCCAAAAGTATGGCTGCAAAATGAAAACACAAGTGATAAGCTAAAAACGGATGAAATTAATTTAAACACTTCAACAACTATCAATTGATTTCCCTTAAAATCTCCGAAGGACATGGGCAAGAAGATATGCTCTCTCTGTTCCTGTTTTATTTATTTTTTCCATTATTTATTTGCTACTCTTTGTTTTATTTATTTTTTCTTTTTAAATTTGACGAAGCTCGATAATTTGTTTCCATGAGAATTCACTTAGTCTTCTAAACAAAAAGAAAGAACATAAAAAGTATAACTTTCCTCTTGCTTGACAAAACCTCAACTTCTGCATGTGGTCAAATTCAGGTATGCCACCTTTTTTTTATTTTTATTTTTTATACCCGGGAACCATGTCCTAGGCAGTGTCCTTTGGGCCTACCCTAGGAGGAGCATAAACCCGAGGTATGCTATATATGTTGGCTTCTCAAAGCATAGAACTACTAAAGTTTAGGATCTAAGAGGCCGCAATAAACCTTGTTGTCAATAAGAAAGTACTTCTAAAAATGCAATGCAAGCTTGAGGTATTTGATATGCAATAAAAAGAGGGAGTAAAGGGAGAATGTCTATACATCCTTCAAGTCTGTTACAAATTTTCTTTTTGTCTCCCAGGGCTAATTACTTTATGCAATAACTAAAGAATACTAATCTAAATCTCTGTCAGAATGCATCAACAATATGTTCACCTAACAAAAACTTTATGTCATTCTATCATCGGTTACATAAGAGCCAGAAATTATTAGTCCAAATAATTTCATCACATCCCGCCACAGAGAGAATTCAGTCAAGCTAGAATATGTTTCACAGACCATTTGCTTTTCCTTTTTTATTTTTATTTTTATTTTTAAAGAATATATTTCACAGCATGTTTAGGAGTTTAAACATAAATTGAACTCAGAATAAACACAATTAATTCAAATGGAAAATATATATATATATATATAAATAGAAGAGGTAAAGGTTAAATAAAGTGAATCTTACAGCATCCTTAAATGCTTGGAATGCTGCTTCTGGTAGGTAAGCGTAAGTAGTGCCACTATCCAGGATGGTTCCATATTTTCCATCAAAAACACTTGGGTTTAAAGACAACTTCTTCCCAGCAACATGCATCTCCTTCAGCTCAATATTGTAATATGGACTGTTGCCATCCCGAAACTAGAGTAAATGTGTGAGATGTATCAAGTGTATATATGTTAGGAAAATAAACAATGTTTTGGATCTATAATATGAATATTACGAAACATACCTGCGTGCAGGATCAGAACGGGAGAATACCATGTTAGCAGGGGGGGAAATGCCACCAAGAATCATTGCACCACCACCAACATCCATCCCTCCATAACACAAGGAAAAGGAATCACTAATTACACCTCTGTCAACAAGTTGATCCACAACACTGAGATCACCATGGCCCAAACCCATTATGCCATCAGCATGTTGACTGTAAAGGTCGCCAGTTTCCACATTTTCACAACCAAAAACAGCACGCTGGGGTGCAAGTTCACTTTCATTGCCAAACGATATAATGTCCTCACCAAGGACACCACTGCTAGAACTCATTTCAGCATACTGTCGATCATAAACACACTGACCCCTATCACCATCACAGGTGCAATCAACGTTGCACTTTACAGGTTGGTAGGTGCTAGACAAATCTGGCTGGAACTTTGGATCCTGGTGAACAAATGATATGTCTCAAACCATAGAAAGGAAAAAAGAAGAAAAAAATTTAAAACTCCAAATATAAAAGACATACATATACATACTAATTGTGTGTGCACACATGGGGGGTGTTTGGCAAGGAAAAAAATAGCCTATTTTAGGCTAAAATTCACAAAAAGACAAAATAGGCTAAAATAGCTAATAAGACAATATATCACATCAAATCCATAATCATTTCACTTTTTCTCTCACAAACATCACATCCAACCACAAAAAAATTCAATCATCTTCCCAAACACAAAAATTTTAGCCTACTAAAATAGCCAAAAACTAAAATAGCCTACTAAATTAGCAACTTCCCAAACGAAGCCATGATATGTGTGCTGTTAAAACAGCAAGAAGTTACAAATTTTTATCTATATTTGATCTGGGGAATTACATGAGGCAAGCAGTTACAGGCTTTTACGTGAGGATATTTTAGGAACACCAAGAAGTGTGACAAAACTCAGGTGTACACTTTATACAATATAGTATAGATATTTTTTTTGCTTATCAATCTATCAAACAGTTTTGAATTACAAATCAATCACCTTCTGTGTAAAAACATCCTAATAGGTTTACAAGCCAATTGAATCACCACATACGGCCAATTATGTGCCCAAACAGCTTGCACGTAAAACATCTTTTCCAGAAAAACATGTTCATTCATTCATTCATCAACCAAATAACTTAACCAATAACAAAGCAAACACAATCAAAATTTACAGTAACAGACAAGAAAGACATATATTTCATCATACATTTTATGAAAAGAAAAGATGGAAAATAAAAAATCACAGAAAGAAATCAAGTTAAGTCACGGTCTTAAAAATGAAATTGGGAATACAACATTCTCTTAAATGACTGATATAAAGGTTGGGTCTTTGGCACTCAGTTTGAGCAAGTGACAAGTACTGACTACGTGTATTGAAGTTCTTGCCTCAAAAGGCAAAGCCGACCTATATCTACAAAAAAAATAAATAAATTTTTTAACGTTGACATAACAATACCATACCAACACCTAAAATTGTTGCATACAGTTGTGTAAATCAATGAACAATGGGTTTTCAAATGATTTAACATTGAAGATTAGATGATCACCTGGTGTCTACCACACTGTTCACATGTAGAGCAAGGAACATATGTAACAGTACTCCCTGTATCAACGATGAGAGCGAATTTCTGGGGAGGAGTTCCGATCCAAAGCCTAGTGGTATAGTAACTGCAACAACACCAATTTTCAATTCACACAATTTCAATTCCATCGAATACATATGAAAGAGATTGGAGAAGATGTGAAGATCTATTACCCGTTGCGGAGGAGATCGTCGTAGAGGGGCATGCGAGCGTTAGGGTGGAGAGGGTCGGATCCCTGAATCTGGCGGCGGACGGAGGGAGAGGAGGAGTTGCGGGAAGAGCTGCTAGGAGGAGGAGAGAGAAAGAGGGGGAAGAACATGGTGTGGCGGTTGCTGCCGCCGTGGGGTGGTCGGAGGATGATGGTGGTTGCTTCGCCGGAGGAAACGACCTCGGCCACGAGAAATAGGATCAAGACGGCAGTGGTGGTGGCGACCTGTGACCGCGGCCGCGCCATTGGTGGGTGGAATTGGAGGTCAATGAGAGAAGTGAGAACACGGTAGGTCTCTCTTCTCGCTAGAGAGATAGGAGATAGATGAATTGACTTTCCATTCCAACCTTCCTTATGTGTATCTATCTATGTATGTATCTATCACACAACTTGTAGATTCAACCTTGCCAAACTAACTAATAAATTCCATGGTATGATGCAACCTTGCAACCAAAGAAAAGCTGGTTTGACACAGGATTTTTGTTTTTTTTTTGTTTTTTTCTAATGTGATTGGAAAATGAGTGGTGGGATATTCATTGGACTATTATCAAGATATAAAGATAATGAATAATGTTAGAAATTTTTAAAATTTTATTAAATATTTGGGTGAATTACATTAATCGTTTTTATAATTTGGAGGTTGTGTTATTTTGATTTTTAACTTTTCAATTGTAACATAATTGATCTTGAATTTTGAATCTTGTTTCAAATAAAGACAATTGAAGATATCATTGCTTAATTTCAATGGCAAAATCGTCAATCTGATAAAATATAAACTAATTTGATAAGAATAAATATCAAAAAAATATTTTTGAATTTTAAAAAATTATTTCTACCCACTAAAGATAAAATTATGTAAAATTGATAAATCTTTTACATATTTATTTATTTTATCAAATTAATTTTTATTATGTGTTTGGATGATGATCATGTAATGATTGGTTGTTAGGATTTTAATATGTAATCTGTATATTTAATATATGAATTGTTTTTAGTTTTGGATTTTTTAATTTAATGAATTTGTTTAATAATAATATCAAAATTGTCGCCATATTTAACTTTTGAAAAAATATAAGCTAATTTAATGAAAATAAAAACCACTCATTACATGATCATCATCCAACACATAATAAAAATTAATTTGGTAAATAAATAAATAAATAAATGTCTAAAATATTTATTAATTTTACATAATTTTATCTTTAGTGGGTATAAATAATTTTTAAAAATTCAAAATATTTTTTTGATATTTATTTTTCAAATTAGTTTATATTTTATCAAATTGACGATTTTGCCCTTGAAATTAAGTAATAGTATCTTCAATTGTCCTTATTTGGAAAAATATTCAAAATTCAGGATTAAATGTGTTACAATTGAAAAGTCAGGGACCAAAGTAACACAACCCGTAAACTATAGGGACTGTTAGTGTAATTTGCCCTAAATATTTTATATGAGTGTGGGATTTATATGAGATTTATATTATGTGGGTCTCACACTCATATGAAAATATTGATAGAACTTTTGAGATATTTAACATTTTTTATTTATAAAATCTCATCAAAAAGATATTTATAAAATTAAATAAAATAAAAATAAAAGTTACACCAAGTATTGATAATATGAAATTAAAAATAACTATGTTACATTTCACTAATATAGCACTCTTAATTTGTACGTGAAAGAGAGAGATAATATAGAGAAGAGTGTGGGTTCAGCCCTTCACATAATTATTTTAATTGAAAAATATTTGAGAGTACTAATTTAGCATCACAAATTCACCCTCAGTGATATGAAATGAACCATGCGAAGGGATAAATCTGCACTCCTTTCTTTATCTCTCTCTTTCGTATCGTTAAAAGTAAGTTAGAGGTGTCATATTAGTGAGATGTAACATAATTGGTAATTTTTTTAGAGGATAAATGATTTGAGTAATATTAGGTGATCCTTTCTGTGTATCACACCATTTTCACTGTCTGGATATTTCTTTATTTTTTATAGAGTAGGTAATCGGTATTGTTTTATCACACACGTAGTGCTTTTACATGCCAGTGCCACCAATCGTTTTGTTTAATAGACTTTATTTTTTATTTGTAAAATAGCATCACTAAGTATTATTTTATTAATTCATCAAATGATGTCATTATTTCTAGTCAAAATGTTTCTTAATTGATTCATCAAATAATGTCATTATTGTTTAAAATACTTCATTAGACAATATAATCATGCATTTAATTTTGAAATTCTATTTAATGATCAATGGTTGCGAAAAATTTGCATTATAATATTTTATTTTAATTATAAAATATATATAATTATATGTTAGTTACAAAAATACAGCAATGTGTACCAAAAAAAATTCAACCTTGTCTATTCCAGACCAACTTATATAGTGTCTGTTGTGCCAGGTGCACTGCTGTGCGGCCTTATGAGTTTATTTTGGAGTCCGTTTTGATAATCTAAACCGTTCACATTTTAGAGTATATCGAGTAAAACATACCTACCAAAAATTAAGTTAATCGGATATCATTAACCCTTTCATCCACTTACATTTGTATTCATTTTAATATTTTAAATCACAAAGTTATTTATTTTTCAAGATATAAATGTGAGTGAATAAAAGGGTTAACGATATCCGATTAACTTGATTTTTGACAAGTATGTTCTATTCAATATACTCTAAAATATGAATGATTTAAATTATCAAAATGAACCTCAAAATGAGTCCATAAAACCGCACAACAGGCCCCCCAATTTCCATATATATAGTATAACAAGAACAAGTCGAGTTGGGAGGGTTATATAATAAAAAATCGATAAGCTAATTGACATACAGTTTCAAATTTGTCCATCCTCTATAAACCAAGTCAACTCATCCAAATGTTACAAAATTATCTTCTATTATTCACAAATAATACTTTTTGAACCCTAAGGCCATGTTTGATTCACAATACTAATAGTGAGGTATTAATAATCCTATCAAATTAGTGTGGTATTAACTATCCCACCTCTACCCCATTACTAATTATCCTACAAATTTGTTGAATTAATTATCCATTGGATTAATAGTCCTAAACCAAATGTCAAAACAAACATAGGATGGTTGGGTCCACGGATTAATAATCCTAATCTCATACTTTAATCCTTCCAATCAAACATGCCCTAATATTATTAATGAGATGACACCTACACCCGTTTTTATCATATATTTTTTCTTAATTTGATTATTTTGTACATTGATAAGTGAAAATGATTTTGAATAAAATTATGCATTTGATTACTTTATAAAATCCTTGGAGATAGAAATTAGGGGCGAAACTCGTTATCTAACAGCCCCAAAATTGTTAGATTACGGCTTTGTCTCTAGATTAATTTTCACAGATCCAGATCAGACAGATAACTTTGGACATAAGCTTGCTAATGCAGTACTGTGCGTAATGGAAGAACATCATCCGTATGTGGAAGCTTTGATAGATAGCAAACTACCAGAATGGAAGGGAATATGGTGCAATCCAACTAAACACAAAATGTACCTCAGAGGAACCTCTACATTCCCAGGATACCCAGGACTTCTCAATAGGAGACCCTGGCCATGCAGAAGATTTCCACTCAAAGACCAGCTCAATAAATGGAGAAAATTTGCTAGCAACTCTCTCTTAGCCTATAATGGAAATTATGGGCATCTAGTCTGTGAAGATAGACATCAGAAGATACATTGTAATTTAGCCATCCCAGGATATCCATTCAGCAAAGAGACATTTGTCGATGAAAGTCAGTACCCTAACTATCAGCATGGCGTCTCTCATGAATCACCGGTGATGGGAGAGAATGATCAAGAATATTACGATGAACCACCCATGGGAGATGGGGATGACTTTTACGACCAACTCTCAGCAGCAGACCTGGACGACCTAGCAGACAGAATGTATGGGTAAAAAAAAAAAAAAACAGGGGGTCCCACTACAAGACTCATAATATATTTTGAACATGTTGTAGTAGATTATTTCTTGACTCTTTACATTTTGAAAATTTTTCACGAAGACCCAACTTTGAAGAATCACTCCAAGGGTCGACATCAATAATTGGCGCTCCAGCAAAAGAAGACAAAATCCATAGAAGATAAGGATTTTCCTCAGATATCAGAAAAATGCACGCCAAGAAAAGACAAAAAAGATTTTGCAAATATTTTGTGTCTGTAATTATTTGAGTCTGTTAGTGATAAGTATTTTCCTTCACTCACTACTTTAATAAAGTGGATATTTCTTATCCTGCTTTATTAAAGAAAAGTTGTGAAAATCTTTATACGTGTCTTGTAATAAATTATAGTGTCAAAATTTTGTCAAAAAATGAGGATTGAATGATATGCGATGGGGCCCAAAGCAGTACCCAATATCATTATTTTAATCCTTTATTGATAAGATTTTATCCATAATAATAACTTACGTCTAAATCTATGCATTTATGGCATAGATATTATTGTATGAATCTAGGTAGTCTATGTAGGAGTCTATGGTATAAGTAAAATAGCCTTTAGACTTTTTTGTTTTCTTTGCCAGAACTTTTGACGAAAGCTTTATTAAAGAAAAGTTGTGAAAATCTTTATACGTGTCTTGTAATAAATTATAGTGTCAAAATTTTGTCAAAAAATGAGGATTGAATGATATGCGATGGGGCCCAAAGCAGTACCCGATATCATTATCCTAATCCTTTATTGATAAGATTTTATCCATAATAATAACTTACGTCCAAATCTATGCATTTATGGCATAGATATTATTGTATGAATCTAGGTAGTCTATGTAGGAGTCTATGGTCTAGGTAAAATAGCCTTTAGACTTTTTTGTTTTCTTTGCCAGAACTTTTGACGAAAGATTTTTTGGATTGTTTTAACTCAACTTTGTGTATAAATTGGCATGTTTGCCAACGAAGAAGGCAGAATGAAAAAACACCCCTTCACTTTGCATTGTAAAAATCTCCAACCCCTCTCAAAAAACCTCTACTTGTATTAAGTTTTTCAGAATTCCAGAGTCTGTAATATAATCTTTGTAAGTATACTTCTTATTAATATGAAGTGTGAGTAGTTTCTCTTTTTCCTTAAATATTTCAAAAGGGTAACTCTTCTATTCTAAAAATTTATTTTCTTTTTGGAAAAACTAATGTTAGTAATGGGCGCCCATGTGGCATGACCATTTGAATTTGAATTTAAATCTTATCCAAATAGGTTTTGAAATTGAATTCAAACCTATTTAGGATAACCACTCTGGATACAGATATTATCCCCATTAACTAATATGGATAGATAATAATAACACATTATATATCTGGTATATGGGTTATGGGTGATTAAGAGAGAAAGAACGTATGTTTGAGTTTTACCCATATACTGACTCTTTCTCAAAAACAACGATCAAGTCATTTGCACTGTGATTTGTGTGGGTGATATTCATTCTGTAATATCACTTCACTGTTGCGTTGGTTTAT